TTTTTTTTTTTTTTTTTTTTTCGCTGGTTTTAAAGCGTTTTTCATTTGTAATTTATAAATTATCTTAATAATAAAAAATTATGAATGTTGAACACAAGCACGAAGCCAATGGAGGACAAGGGGGGACAGCCGCCCCCTCTAAGCATTTGAAAAACATTTAATATGGTGTTCTAATTTTTCTTTGTTAAAAATTTTGGTTTTTTAGTATGAATTTTAAGGACCATTTTAAATGTAGAGAAAATATTTAGAATTTCAATAAAAAGTTTTCAAAAAATAAAGATATAATTCAAGTAAAATGAATTTATGTCAATGAATTAATTAAGAATTAAGACTCTTAAACACTTTTTTATCTATTAAGCCTAAAAAAAACTTTAATTATCTATTTAAACAACTTTAAATTTATAGTTTTCTTTAGAATTCTTTTATTTTCTTTCTTAATATTTTATGTAATAATTCAAAATTTTTTCCTTTTGACATCAAGGTACATTTTTACCTTTTATGATTGAATTTATAATATTTTTTTTGTTAAATCAATTTAAGTAGAGTTTCATTTTCTAAAAGAAATATTTTAGTATTTTTTTATAATATTAATTTTTATCAATATGACCTCTAAAAAATTAAGAGGAAACATTCTAAAACTACATTGTTTAAGTAAAATCAAAACTCTCTCATTACTACTTTAAAAATATATTATTTTTGTCTTTTCAATGCAAGTTTATTAAAACAATTTAATTTTATAGTGTTTTTCCTCATAATTTGTTAAAGATTCAGCTAACAAATATATTTCTCTTTTTTTTTTTATTCATTCTTTAATTGATCATTGCATAATTTATTATTATAAATTTTAATTTTTATTATAATTGAAAAAATACATTTATTTCTAATCTTTACTAAGAATATATCAATGAAAAAGACTATAAGTAAATCTTTTTATAAGGGAGAAGATTTATAGAAAATAATTTAATGTCAAAAAAATACTCTTAATGACTCAAATCTTCAACAATAAATTTCACTCCCTAACTGAATTTCTTGGCTTCATCCCTAGTTGAACAACTCATTTAGGTTAAAAATATATATATATATATATATATATTTATAACTTACAATTGTGCCTCTCTAACCTAAAATCCTCGTTACGCCGTTGATCAGGGACGGAGGATCACGGGGAAGATTTTTGAAAAAATTAATATATTTTATTTTTAATAATTTTTATATTTCTTTTATTGTAAAAAAATAATTATTATTTTCTTTCTAGTATTGGAATTGGTTTGTGTTTAGATTGTGATTTAGTATTTAATACGAGCATAATTGAGAAAAGTTGAATTTTCATGGGTAATGCAATAATGGCTTACAAAAAGTTATAATACCTCTTTGTTATGCACATTAACTGTTTGATTAATTACATTAATGCAATACACTTTCTCTTATTCACTTTATTTTGTGCATTATGTTTTAAATTTCTTTTGTAAGACAGTAGGAGTATTTAATTAATTTGATCTCTTTAATTGTTAGTAGGTTTACATATAGTTATTGTGAGCTCCAAAAAACTCATCATATTTATCATTTTTAACTTTTAAGTATATAATTATATATATAAAAAATAGACTTAAAATACAATGGAGAATTAAATTTAAACGGATAAAACTAAGGCTAAAGAGAAAAATATTTGTCCATCTTGAAATTAATGATGAAAAATAATATTAATTTGGAACAAATTTTTAGTATTATTTTTATTTTATAGTTTATATTATAAAATTTATTATTTTATAATTTAAACTATTTTAAAATATACAATGAAGTCCCTTACATGAGGAGATGACTCTCAATATTTTAGAACTTTTTCTAACTAAAGGTCAATATTTTATAATTTAAAAGTAATTTAGATTATAAAATAATTTTTTATATAATTATATTCATTTATGATAAAAAGAAATTGTCCTGGTCCCCGCTAATATTTTGGTCAAACTTCGTCCCTGCCGCTTAAGATATTGAGTAGGGAGTGGGAGATTGGAAAAGTACATAAATGGTCACTTGCTCAACAAGTAATCATACAAATGTAAGGCAATGTATTTTTGGGAAACTATGCAACATGAGCCAATATAATGTTCAACTTGCTTGACTTAGTAGGTTAATGAATTTGCTCGACTTTTCTTAGTCGGTCAAATTGACTTTCTGAACTCAACTAGAGGACAAATTGACTTCAAGGTCTTCCTAACCTAATTAGATCAATTCAAGTCGGCAAATAATATTAATATTTTTAGGAAAAGCAGAATGGTTCATAGTCCAAGTCATTCAAGTTTTACTTGTAATAACATCATTTATTACGTAACAAACTACCTGCGCTTGGCATGCAAAGTTCGCGTCAAAGGGGAATATTCAATTAACTTCCAGAATCATTAATGTCACCTGTCTGGCGGTGCTTTTTTGAACTTTTATTGTTTTAATACTGTTTATAAGTAGTAAATTAAAATTTTTATT